ACATCTATTACTACTACATCTACTACAACTACATCTACTACTACTACATCTACTACTACTACAACTACTACTACATCTACTACTACTACATCTACTATTACATCTACTACTAGAACTACTACTACGTCTACTACTACATCTACTACTACATCTACTATGCATGTACTACTACTACATCTACTACTACATCTACTACTACTACATCTACTACTACATCTACTACTACATCTACTACTACATCTACTACCACTACTACTACTACATCTACTATTACATCTACTACTACTAACATCTACTACTACTACATCTACTACTACATCTACTACTACATCTACTACTACTACTAACATCTACTACTACTACATCTACTACTACATCTACTACTACATCTACTACTACTACTACATCTACTACTACTACATCTACTACCACTACTACTACTACATCTACTATTACATCTACTACTACAACTACTACTACATCTACTACTACTACATCTACTATTACATCTACTACTGCATCTACTACTACTACATCTACTACTACATCTACTACCACTACTACATCTACTACTACTACATCTACTACTAACATCTAATACTACTACATCTACTACTACTACATCTACTACTACATCTACTACTACTAGATCTACTACGACTATTACATCTACTACTACATTTACTACAACTACATCTACTACTACATCTACTATTACAACACCTACTACTACATCTACTATTACTACATCTACTACTACTACATCTACTACTACGACATCTACTACTACATCTACTACTACTACATCTACATCTACTACTACATCTACTACTACATCTACTATTACATCTACTACTACTACATCTAATATTACATCTACTACCACTACTACATCTATTACTACATCTACTACTACATCTACTACTACATCTACTACTACTACATCTACTACCACTACTACATCTACTACTACATCTACTACTACTACATCTACTATTACATCTACTACTACATCTACTACTGAATCTACCACTACATCTACTACTACTACATCTATTACTACATCTACTACTACATCTACTACATCTGCATCTACTACTACTACATCTACACCTACATCTACTACTACTACATCTACTGCTACTACATCTAATACTACTACATCTACTACTACTACTACATATACTACTACATCTACTACCACATCTACTACTACATCTACTACTATCACATCTACTACTACCACATCTACTGCTACTACATCTACTACTACATCGACACCTACATCTATTACTACTACATCTACTACTACTACATCCACTACTACTACATCTACTACTACTACATCTACTATTACATCTACTACTACTACAACTACTACTACATCTACTACTACTACATCTACTACTGCATCTACTACTGCTACATCTACTACTACATCTACTATTACATCTACTACTACCACATCTACTACTACTACATCTACTACTACATCTACTACTACTACATCTACTACTACCACAACTACTACTACATCTTCTACTACTACTACATCTACTACTACATCTACTACTACATCTACTACTGCATCTAATACTACTACATCTACTACTACATCTACTACTACATCTACTACTACTACTACATCTACTACTACATCTACTACTACTACTACATCTACTACTACATCTACTACTACAACTACTACTACATCTACTACTACATCTACTACTACATCTACTACTACTACATCTACTACTACATCTACTACTACATCTACTACTACTACATCTACTACTACATCTACTACTACCACATCTACTACTACTGCTACATCTACTACTACTACATCTACTACTATTACATCTACTACTACTGCTACATCTACTACTACTACATCTACTACTACTACATCTACTACTACTACATCTACTACTACTGCTACATCTACTACATCTGCATCTACTACTACTACTGCTACATCTACTACTACCTCTACTACTACATCTACTACTACTACATCTAATTCTACTACATCTACTACTACTACATCTACTACTACATCTACTACTACATCTGCTACTACTACATCTACTACTACTACTACATCTACTACATCTGCATCTACTACTACATCTAATACTACTACATCTACTACTACTGCTACATCTACTACTACATCTACTACTACTGCTACATCTACTACTACATCTACTACTACTGCTACATCTACTACATCTGCATCTACTACTACTGCTACATTTACTTCTACATCTACTACTACTACATCTAATTCTACTACATCTATTACTACATTTATTACTACATCTACTACTACTACATCTACTACTACATCTACTACTACAATTATTACTACATCTACTACTACTACATCTACTACTACTACATCTACTACTACTACTACATCTACTACTACATCTATTACTACATCTACTACTACTACATCTACTACTACATCTACTACTACTACATCTAATACTACTACATCTGCTACTACTACTACATCTACTACTACATCTACGACTACTACATCTACTACTACTACATCTACTACTTCATCTACTACTACATCTACTACTACTGCTACATCTACTACATCTGCATCTACTACTACTACATCTACTACTACATCTACTACTACTACATCTACATCTGCTACTTGTACATCAATTACTACTACATCTACTACTACAACTACTACATCTACTACTACTACATCTACTACTACATCTGGAGACTTGGTTATTCAAATCCTCGTTGGTGGGGAGGTAAGGAGGGGATCGACACACGACCGATCATCCCTTCGGGGTTGTCCATAAAGCGAGTTCCATTTAGTGGGAAGTCAACAGTGAACAACCTCCTGTGAATAGACATCACCCTCGCCACGAGTATGTGGACTGGGCAGCAGCGTCTCACGCTCCCGTGTGACCAGGGAGACACGGCTCACCACTCGTCTCCCTCTCTTCCTCCGCCGTGTGACCGGGGAGGTGCAAGACGCTGGCAGGCCGTGCAGGGCCAGGCGCACGATCCGATCAATCCACGCGATCCTCCACCACCCCACCCCCCCAGCTCTGGTTCTGTCCAGCGCTGCTTTGCTGATGCTGCTTCTGCGCCTTCCGTGCGGTTTTTTTTACGGCAACAAATCGCGCAGCTCAAACTCAAAGAGACAGCAAAGTCAAACACGGCACTTGAGCAACACGCGATGTTGCCAACAAACTCTGACTTTTACAAGACGCGTTTTGAAAAAAAAATACCAAATGTATTTTAAAATGTAAGCTGTGGGTGCGTCTTTGTACTCCTATACATTGTGTCAAGGCGGTAGCCATGGAGTCAACATTGGGGGGGACTAAATCTTCCTGGGGGTCTGGGGGTCCCCCCCACAGAGAAAAAAATATATCTAAATTTGAAAAATAATTTCCTGCCATTTCCTGCCTAAAATATAAAAAAAATCACGAACACATGGGATTGACTTTTTATTTATCTTTAACAATAATGTCTAACAGTGTATTTATTGTATTACATTGCTCTGTTTTTTTATTTTTTACCTTTTCTTGTTTCATTGTATATGTAATGGCAGAGATTAGGGATTTATAAAGTACAACCATAACCACAATCATATAAACAGAAATCTATTATATAGAAATATATTGGGGGGGGGGGGACATTTTGAGCATATTTGAATATTGCGGGGGGGTGGGGGATGTGTCCCCCCCCCCCAATATATATTATAATTACGGCCTTGCATCGTGTGTGCGTGTGACCAGATTTTATTTTTGTTTTATTGACACCGGGCACGCGAGTTTGGGTTGGTTGCGTCTGACCTTCCCGGAGCGTCTCATAATCCGCAGAATCGTGCGAGTGTAACATTGCACAGCCCCTCTGTTAATCCACTGCTGGATGAAGGCCGCCCCCACCGCATGCGTGTGACCCAATGGGCTTGTTTGACCATACTTCACCATTCCGGTCGGTGCGATTTGAAGTGGGGTGGGGTGTGGTTTTGCGGTCCAGCCGTCCAGAACCGGTTAAGATATCACTCGCCACTGAGGTTAGCCGTGAGCTGGCAGTCGAACTCAGGTTGCCGTGTCTTTGTCTTGTATACTGGGAGATAAAGGCGGTCGGGCGTGGTGCTGGCCACCCACCCCCTCGTTAACAGCACTTGCCCCAACTTTATGTCCAGGCTAAACGGGGGATCTTGGTATGTTGTTGTTGTGAATACCATCACGTAATGTATTAGCCAAGGATACACCAGGGGTATGCATCGCCAGCGTACGGCACAGTATATTAAAATGCGCACACAAGTCACCAACAATGAGGTTGTTTAACACGACGTCACAAAAAGTCAGACCCCCCTCAAATATGACGTCACAAAGCTCTGCCCCCCCCAAACCATATTTCCATTTTGAAAATAAAACATGCTTAAAATCTCTTTAAACTACTGTCATTGTAGTGCGTATTTAATGTGGCGCTGCACTCTGATGTTGTAGGAGAAAACATGCATTAAAAAGGAGGCGTTGGAAAGCTGAAATTTAGCATGAAATAACTTGAAAATATTCAATGTCTAACTAAAACTGCAGATGTTCAGAATATTATATTGCAATTATCTTATAATTATAAAATATTAAAAGTAATTATAACTATAAAAAATGCTTGAAACTTTGTAGTAGAATGAAGCAAAATGGTGCGTACAATTATAACAATCACATACTCATTGCACAGAATGAAAAGCCCTGGTAGAATCATTAGAATAAAAATGTTTAATAACAATCATTCAACAAAATTTACACAATGTATACATCTCCATTCTCCCATGGAGAAGCAAAATGCTCATTCATGGAATAAATAAAAGGTGACTTTAGCAAATGTAAATAATAAAATAGTTAATAATGAAAAAGTTGCGCATTTTGATGTGACGTCACATTTCTCAAACCCCCCCTCCCATCCTCGTCACACATCGTCACAAATGTCTGACCCCCCCCCCCCCCCAGGTGCGTGACGTCATTTATGGACGGCCCCGAAGGGGACGAGGAATGAGTGACCGCGATGAGAGGGGCGACTATGGGAGATCACGACTCTGGGAGATCACGACTCTGGGAGATCACGACTCTGGGAGATCACGACCCTGGGAGGTCACGACTCTGGGAGATCACGACTCTGGGAGGTCACGACTCTGGGAGATCACGACCCTGGGAGGTCACGACTCTGGGAGGTCACGACTCTGGGAGATCACGACCCTGGGAGGTCACGACTCTGGGAGATCACGACGCTGGGAGATCACGACACTGGGAGGTCACGACTCTGGGAGATCACGACTCTGGGAGATCACGACTCTGGGAGGTCACGACTCTGGGAGGTCACGACTCTGGGAGATCACGACCCTGGGAGGTCACGACTCTGGGAGGTCACGACCCTGGGAGGTCACGACTCTGGGAGATCACGACTCTGGGAGATCACGACTCCTCTGGGAGATCACGACTCTGGGAGATCACGACCCTGGGAGGTCACGACTCTGGGAGGTCACGACTCTGGGAGATCACGACACTGGGAGATCACGACTCTGGGAGGTCACGACTCTGGGAGATCACGACTCTGGGAGGTCACGACTCTGGGAGGTCACGACTCTGGGAGGTCACGACTCTGGGGGATGACGACTCTGGGAGGTCACGACTCTGGGAGATCACGACTCTGGGAGATCACGACTCTGGGGGATGACGACTCTGGGAGGTCACGACTCTGGGAGATCACGACTCTGGGAGATCACGACCCTGGGAGGTCACGACTCCTCTGGGCCATCGGGGAGGGGCGGCAACGGGTGGAGGGGCGGCAAGGGAAGAGGGAAGAGAGCGAGCGACAGGGGAGATGACGTCAGCTCTTCGCTCTTCATGCTGAGCGCATTCTACAATGAGGTGCACACACACATCTCTGACATACCTCGCGTATCGCCGGGTTCACGCGTACATCACGAGAGTGCACCCCGTATTTTACACGAGGTTGTTACACCTGCAGGGTGTAATAACCTGCAGGTTGTTACACCTGTAGGTTGTTACACCCACAGGTTGTTATACCCTGCATGGCGGGTATTGCCGACTTCACGCGTAGATTATTACAACCAATATATATATTTTTTATGTTATTCATAAACTATGTTTTGGGTTAGTCTGCGTAATGATAGAGCCAAATTTACGCTCACGTTGTCATAGTTGGAGCTCACCCACCGTTAAGTTGAAGAACAGTTTGTACAGTACAGTTATCAATGATCTATTCCCACAGACACATTCTCAAATCTGAATTTAGCGACGGCTGTGAGAATTGTGAACGTGCCCACGGTGAGCTAAAACGATCACGACTGGCCCGTGAACGTTGATTCACGTGGCAATTGAATGTGTTTGGATCTCGGGCGGTGAAGGTAAAGATCATTACATGGCCTAACCCAACAATCTATAATAATTCAGAATACTGCTTGTTTTATGTTGCATATATTTTTTTACCTTTACAAACACATTCTATATACTATATGTAGGGACACAGATTCAATATGTATCACAATTAACATATATCCAGTTTAATATGTGTTGTATGAAATTGTTACAGATGTAAGTAAATAATACGTAAATATCAGTTTGGCTATAATGCCCAAATCACATGTATAACGACAATCATATAAACAACGAATAACCCTTTGTCATTCTACTGCTGAATGAATGCTTGCCCACACCTTGTTGGTCATGGCGGATTGTTTGACCATACTTCACCACAATTGACAGTATATGTTTGGTGAAGGCAGAAAACCCACAGGACGGATTCAGATATGATCACTCGTCGCTTAAGTTTGCCGTGGCCCGCAATCGATCTCAGATCGCCGGGTTCACAGCGCGTTGTGCTGACCGCTCCACCTGGTGTACGGTGCTTTTTTCAGGAATATTTTGCTGTTTTTTTCATTGATTTTCTGTTTGCACAGTCATATAGTCACTTTAAGATGTTTTTCTTGTTCGTGTTTTTGTTTTTTTTGTTTGTTGTGGTTGCACCCGATTCAAGAGCCGAATGGCTCACAAGGCTATACAAAAAAAAACTCCTCATATTGCCGGCACCAGCTCCACCAGCACCGGCAGAGCTGCACAAACAAAAGGACTGGTACTAAATCTGGCACGTGTTGGGTTTACATTGAGTAGCGTGGGCTCCCCTACCCGACACCCACCCACTCGGGCGCACGGTCCGGGGATGTCACCTGCTCCTGCTCGCTGCAATACTCTGCATTTTGGGAAGACTCCCGTCCCTCGTCGCCAGGGCTCAGCGAGGAAATGTGCCCCGGTTGACTGGCGTGGCCAGGGTTTGGCACGGAGGACCTCTGCTCCGAGTTGCTGGAGTTGTCGGCGAACACACGCCGCTGTTGGTCGGAGAGACGAGACATCTGCAAGGACGCTCCCTCCTGCCTGTCGCGCGGATCGCACCTCTGTGACGACCTCTGCGCCGCCGTGCCCGTGGGCTCGTGGACGGGAGAGCCCCCGGGGCTGCACGGTCGCGACGGGAGGCGACTGTTCGGCTGCGAGAAGGAGAAAGGCGTCGCCACGGACGACCTGGCCGAGCGCCCGTCCCTGAAGCACGGGTGGACCTTCAGCCGCTGCCTCAGCGTCCTGTAGTACGAGGCCACGCCGGCTCCCCCGGCGAACATGAGCAGCGCCGAGCAGAGCCCCAGGTAGATGGCCGCGCCGTGGACCTGCGCCTCCGCCAGCGGCAAGCCGAGCTGCAGCGCCCGGCTCGTGAGGTTGGCGGGCAGCGCGATGTCCTGGCGCGTGTTAACGGCGTACGCGTGCCAGGCGAGGGGCACCGTCGTCACCAGCGAGGCGACGCAGAAGAGGGCGCCTCCGGCCAGCGCGCAGGCGTGCGACGATCCCTCGCCCTCGTGGCCGAAGAAGATGAAGCGGAGGCCGGCGGTGGTCACCACCTTGCCCGCGACGCCGACCAGCATCCCCAGCGTCATGAGCACCTGGCCGGCGATCACCTGCTCCGAGGCGACGGGGGGGGGATGGACATTGTCATGAGACCATTGAGCCAACAAGCTGTCACTGCCATTCGTTCGTTCGTTCGTTCATCCGTCCGACCGTTGAGTTAATAATAGCACGGCAAACATGTCATTCGACGGGAAATTGAGTCAATAGGGTTACTGTCATTCGAACAAAGGCAATCACTGCATCGCGGTGCTTTCAGGCGCGCGTTGCACCTTTAAATCTGGAAACGTATTTCTTTAGAACTGCTTTGTTGTGTTTAGTTTGCTGTCCTTCCCCCGCACCTCCGATTAGCGAGGTTGGCTACGTGCGGTGCGAAAGAAGTTCAACATACGTGAATTTGACCACCCAGTTAAATGAATGACATTTTATAATTCATGTGGTGCCTCTGATCAAATCTCCGTGCATGCAGCCCATCTTCTCATGGCTCGAGAAGCTGAGCAGGAGGGAAGTTCAGTTTGGTTCGTACTTGGGTTGGGAGACTGTCAGGGAAGATCAGCTGCTGCATGCTAAGTGGCCAGGAGATGGCCACCCCCTCTCGTGAATCTGCGTGCGGCACCTATCAGGGTACCGCCCCTTCCACATGCCACCCACCCATGCACGGAATCGGCGAAAACATCACAATGCAATTTCCTGGTCAAACATATTCTTGAGACTCAGTGGAACGTGCCTGGATAAATGAAAGATGATATTCATAATAGAGGTTTTTTTTTGGGTTAGATCACGTAAATAAAAACTCGCCGGTTAAACCCGCCACCACCTGGCACAGCCATTTAGTGAGGTTTGTCACGTAAAAAAATACGTGGCCAATGCATTACTAGTTCAGCACACCGGTGTGTTGGAGAGTAAACCCACAACATTCACAATTCGAGTACGACGTTTCGCCGGTAATTACAACCAGCATCATCAGGCGACAGCCAAACACACCACTGTGCATTACTAGCAACGAATTGACATGTTCTGTTTACGTGACTAACCTTACTAATCGGCTGTGGCGGATTTAACGACGCGTTTATATTTACGCGATCAAACCCATAAACCTCTTATGGATAATATTGGTCGTGAAAGCCTACGTGTTAAAGATAATATTATTAATATTTGTATAGTAATGTATTAATTAATGCATGTATTAATTTATTATTAAGGTATCTACGTATTTATCCAGGAAAGCCTCGCTGAGTTTTTAAGATATTGTTGGGGGTTTCTGCATTGGGATATATCTGAACCATTTTAATTCTGGATAATTCTTTTTCATGGAGGGTTTGGCTTCACGTGGGAAGAAATTGGGGGAAACCCCACCACGCATAAGAGAAGATTCCACTGCAAGGTCTACATAGATGGTTATATAAACCTGCTTGCTGTACTGTACTGTTTCTCTCCTGACTGCCATCTCCCCTTGCCTCAAAACATCCCCATTACAAACGCGTCCTCCCCCGCACAAACGGCTCATTGTAGGCATCGACCTCACGAGTACCAGAGGGAAGTGGACAGGGGTGATCATAAGGATATGCTGGTCTCCACCATAGGAATGTGGAATTTACTCAATTGGCTCACGGCCTCTCGACAGCGATAACCACCGCCCCACGCTCGTTTGAGCAGGGATACATTGTTAGACTTTGACTACGATAAGCTACGAGTCCACATACCCGGCGCGTTATACCGCGTCGCTTGTGCACGTACCCATGCGGGTCGTGGTGGTAACTTCATCATACTTCATCACGCAAAGTTGGCTGGAATCATAGGGGCGTGCTGCACAACAAATTGTTTTGCTGCAATAGTTACTGCCGTGTGCTGACAATGTAGAGTTTCGCAACAGCCGACATCACCTTTTGCATTTTTTTTACCAGGTGAGGCCCACTGAGCTATACTGTATAGCTTTTTTTTCCATAAGCGAACTGGCCACAAATGATAAATCAACAAAGTGGCTTATCACGTGGAAATGTACAGCGGCCAGATACTCTCAGCGCGTGATGTTGATTCTAAACATGGAGGGGAAACAAATCACGTGATCACGAGGAGAACACGCTAACTCCAAATATACAGCAGCAGCAGCAGCAGGCGTCATGGTCCCGATCGAACCCACGACCTCCTGCACATCCGGCGAGGTAGTTAACATCTCCTCGCCACCGCAGCACCCTTGAACCTGAGCATGGTTCAGGTTAAAGCTGATTATCTTCCGAGATCTCACGGGCTCAGGTACATTCCGAGTCATTTGATTATAGGTGTATCGTACATTCCAAATTTGCATATTGTGCACATATATAAGGTGCGTGACGGGTCTGCATTGTATGGAATTACGTGTGGAGCTTCACTCCATTATTGATACCCGGTGATGCGGATCCGCGTGTGTTGCTCTGTTAACACAGCAACCACAGGTGCCTCTCACAAAGCCCAGGCACTAAAAGTAAACAATTAAAGACCCCATAAACTTGCACATTAAATTGTTTACTTACTTTTACAGGTCTGCTTATAGCACTGCTCAGAGTGCGAGTTGGTCGGGAGGGGGATAGGGATCGGGTGGATTTCCCCGTCTCTGGCTAAGTGTTATCCCTTGGACTTGAACGTCCCGTTGTTACTCGCCCCGGATGAAAGATGTAGACTTTGTAATGTCACGGGCAGTACTTTGAATGGGATAATGCTTGGCCAAAGCTGGCGCCATGGGGTTGTGGCTGCTTGCGATGTGGCCAAGGAGATGGACGCGCAGCAATGGATTCTTGTATCTATCTGTGCGGAGCTTTTGAGTGTCACCCCCTCGTATGAGCGGTGGGGTTTCTCCAGGTTGTCTGGATTCCTCCTGCAAGGACTGGCCAAACATCCCCAGCAGGACTCTCCTGAAAAGTGGTCTTTAGACTCAGTGAGACTTTCCAAGCTAAAATTAATTATTGTTTTTTTTTTATAATAACACGCGAAGTCAGTATCTCATGTAAATGTGTACATTTATGTCGTATTGGGGTTATTTTTCTCTCTCTCACATATTTGTCCATCAATTATTAAATACATGCCTCTTATTGCTGCGTCTACAGTGAGGGAAAAAAAGTATTTGATCCCATGCTGATTTTGTACGTTTGCCCACTGACAAATAAATGATCAGTCTATAATTTTAATGGTAGGTTTATTTGAACAGTGAGAGACAGAATAACAACAAAATCCAGAAAAGCGCATGTCAAAAATGTTATAAATTGATTTGCATTTTAATGAGGGGAATAAGTATTTGACCCCCTATGCAAAACATGACTTAGTACTTGGTGGCAAAACCCTTGTTGGCAATCACAGAGGTCAGACGTTTCTTGTAGTTGGCCACCAGGTTTGCACACATCTCAGGAGGGATTTTGTCCCACTCCTCTTTGCAGATCTTCTCCAAGTCATTAAGATTTCGAGGCTGACGTTTGGTAACTCGAACCTTCAGCTCCCTCCACAGATTTTCTATGGGATTAAGGTCTGGGGACTGGCTAGGCCACTCCAGGACCTTGATGTGCTTCTTCTTGAGCCACTCCTTTGTTGCCTTGGCCGTGTGTTTTGGGTCATTGTCATGCTGGGATACTCATCCACGACCCATTTTCAATGCTCTGGCTGAGGGAAAAGGTTCTCACCCAAGATGTGACGGTACATGGCCCCGTCCATCGTCCCTTTGATGCGGTGAAGTTGCCCTGTCCCCTTAGCAGAAAAACACCCCCAAAGCATAATGTTTCCACCTCCATGTTTGACGGTGGGGATGATGTTCTTGGGGTCATAGGCAGCATTCCTCCTCCTCCAAACAGGGCGAGTTGAGTTGATGCCAAAGAGCTCCATTTTGGTCTCATCTGACCACAACCCTTTCACCCAGTTGTCCTCTGAATCATTCAGATGTTCATTGGCAAACTTCAGACGGGCATGTATATGTGCTTTCTTGAGCAGGGGGACCTTGCGGGCGCTGCAGGATTTCAGACATTCACGGCGTAGTGTGTTACCAATTGTTTTCTTGGTGACTATGGTCCCAACTGCCTTGAGATCATTGACAAGATCTTCCCGTGTAGTTCTGGGCTGATTCCTCACCATTTTCATGATCATTGCAACTCCACGAGGTGAGATCTTGCATGGAGCCCCAGGCCGAGGGAGATTGACAGTTCTTTTGTGTTTCTTCCATTTGCGAATAATCGCACCAACTGTTGTCACCTTCTCACCAAGCTGCTTGGCAATGGTCTTGTAGCCCATTCCAGCCTTGTGTAGGTCTACAATCTTGTCCCTGACATCCTTGAAGAGCTCTTTGGTCTTGGCCATGGTGGAGAGTTTGGAATCTGATTGATTGATTGATTGCTTCTGTGGACAGGTGTCTTTTATACAGGAAACAAGCTGAGATTAGGAGCACTCCCTTTAAGAGTGTGCTCCTAATCTCAGCTTGTTACTGTATAAAAGACACCTGGGAGCCAGAAATCTCTCTGAATCAGAGGGGGTCAAATACTTATTTCCCTCATTAAAATGCAAATCAATTTATAACATTTTTAACATGCGCTTTTCTGGATTTTGTTGTTGTTATTCTATCTCTCACTGTTCAAATAAACCTACCATTAAAATTATAAACTGATCATTTCTTTGTCAGTGGGCAAAAGTACAAAATCAGCAGGGGATCAAATATTTTTTTCCCTCACTGTATCGTGGGGAGCGTTTGACCAAAATTCACAACTCTGTTCAGTGCTGGTCGGTAAAAGCCGTGTGTATATTGTACCGTATTCACAAATCGTGTGTATATTGGACCGTATTCACAAATCGTGTGTATATTGTACCGTATTCACAAATTGTGTGTATATTGTACCGTATTCACAAATCGTGTGTATATTGTACCGTATTCACAAATCGTGTGTATATTGGACCGTATTCACAAATCGTGTGTATATTGTACCGTATTCACAAATCGTGTGTATATTGTACCGTATTCACAAATCGTGTGTATATTGGACCGTATTCACAAATTGTGTGTATATTGTACCGTATTCACAAATTGTGTGTATATTGTACCGTATTCACAAATCGTGTGTATATTGTACCGTATTCACAAATCGTGTGTATATTGTACCGTATTCACACTGGAGTCGCCCCTTCTGACTGGCGTTAGACCAAATCGCTCGCACGCGTTGTATTTATTTATTTATTATCAGGAGGACAGTCCCTCCCCACATCTCTTGGTCCGAACCTTCACGCGCACGCATTTGAACATTTAAATCGAATGGAATTTTTGCTGTCGCTATCGCTCAAAGTAAACACGACGATATATATTATAACAGAAGTTGTAGCTTCACCTATCAATGACCCCGGTTTATATATTCCGTGTCAGAAAATGACTTTGATGCACGACTGATACCCACACCGGACCGTGTATACTGTAGCATAGTAAACCCGTGACCCTATCCTACGTCTATACTGTATATCCTATATCGCAGTACACACATTGATGCATCTACACAGCGATGTGGCAGAGGTGAACATACTCTAAAGTTGTTAACGGTTCACACATTGCTACGTGTGCGATGGAGGGGTGGTTCTGGCTTAATTGCGCTCTAACCCTGACAACGCGAGTTTAAGTGACGGTCACGGCCGATATCATTGGCGTGGAAAATATGAAACTGCTCCTGTCCTGCCACCGTGACCAACCCGCCCTGACAAGCGTGGTGAAGTATGGACAACCCCCCACACACACGCACCCATTACCGACATGGCGTGTGGCAGTCTTTATTAGTAGACTGAGATTGGGCGGATGTACGACTGTATTGTCTATGCATTCATGTATAGCCCCACGTGCAAACTCAAAATGTGTTAAGATCCACTACAAGCTGGTGGCAATAACACGAGCGCCAAAACATTACACGTTACAGCTCTGACCAAACGACAGTCCACTGCTACGCGAAACATGGCGAGACTTTTAGTTGACTGCCTTCGTGGTGTCTCCGTGTTTGTCACAAACTAATCAGATGTAGCCGCACCTCGGATGAGCACGGTTGGCTACGTACGGCGCGAAAGAAGTTCAGCATGCGCACGTGACACGTACATGGGTACACAGTCACATGCGCACACCATCACGCGCATGTCCAGAACGCAACAGCTACGCTCCCCCGTCTGCAGTGAGACCAATGGAAGTGACTCGAGGCTGTGACACGTCGAAGAGGTTCACGCTGGCAGCGTGGCGAGACGCGGCTGCTGGCCACCTGAGTTCATGAATAACGAAAACGCCGCTCACTTAGTGGCTTCGTCTACCGCTTGCTGCACCTCACCGACTCGGGTAACCCCCCCGCCCCGTCACTCGAGGGGGCATCGCGCGTGGCTCACCCGTGGACTCGGGGTCACAACGCGCGTCGCCAAATCCACACCGACACGGACTGCTGCTGCCGCATGCAACCTCACGACTCGTGGAATATTAAATTTACTCAGTTGTGAATGTAAATTTCCCCCGCACCTCCGATGAGCACGGTTGGCTACGTGCGGTGCGAAAGAAGTTCAACGTACATACATTACAACATCGTTATTAGCTTTAATTCTTGTGTCTCTTAATTGTGGAATGCGCTGATGTTGTCTGCCGGCCGGCCGTCCGGCCGAGTCGCCCTTTGAAAAAAGCCGAGCATCTCAGCTTCGAGGGGCTTTACTGGGTAAACACGCCCCTGATTCAGATTCTGAATGTACCGACGAGGCGTGAGCAGAGGGGCCGGGGGGTGGGAGAAGGTGCGGACGATTACACCGAGACCCCAAACTCACCGCCCGCTGTCCAACATTTCTTGACAAGGTTTTGAAAAGTGAACCTCAATGATAGGGCTCCCCCAGCCAACGTTACGTATGGGGGGGGGGGGGGGGGAGGAGGGGGCACATTTGTCTTCACGGGCATGAGTGCATTAACGCAGCACGTGTGGCTTAATACAAAAACACGGGCAGTGGCGAGTACACTTCATGTGCAGCAATCTTCATCCACTGGCCCATGTGATCATCCGTCGATATTTATTTACCTAGTGTATTCGTCTCTTTTTTCAAAGGAGACCTTCATGGGTAAATCCAGAACAGTACAACGTACGGACTAGGGGTGGGACGCGTATTGATGCATCGATTAGTATCGATTATTAGGCTCACATATACGTGCGTCGAATTGCATGTGTAAATACCGTATAGGAGCTTTTCGGCGCTTATGTGCCATATGTAATGGGTTCACGTCACCCCGATTGCCGCGAGAGGCAATGACGTTCACGTGAATCGATTGCGACAACTGATCATGTGGCAAGACGGCCGCTGGAACGTTCCACCCCTGACACAAATGTAACACAGGGTAAAAGCAACAACACGAAACGCAGCGATACAAAGACGAATGAAACTCAGTGTAAACCTTCAATGACACACACAGATTAGGATAGACGTTAGAATGAGGTATAGCCCAGCCATAAGTGGAGTGTGCGGTGGTGCAGGGGTTTAGCGCGAGAGAGTTTGATTTGCCAGCCACGGTAATCACCAGTGGCAAGTGATGTCATAACGGCTCGGCCCTCACGCCAGTGTGGCGCATGGTAAAACAAAACTAAAAAAAACACAACTTTGGAAAGTCTTCATCCATCCACTGGCGGATTGAGAATGGCTGGAATTTACTTTGTATTCTACCGTTGTTATTTATTACAGGCGCCAGTCAATGGTCCATGTAGCTGTGGATCTACAGCATCAGAAGTTTCAGAATCACAAGTTGATTTCGCGACTAAAAGCACAATTGAGTGAGCGAAGAAGCTCCTTGTCGAGGGCTACGCGTCGGGCGTCGAGTCCTCACCTCCGGAGGGGCTGCGTCCAGCTGGAAATGGTAGCAGCGGAGTCTGACGGCCGACGTCGGTCCGAGAACGCAGGCCCTCCAGATGCCCACCCACACCGCCTCTGTGGCGCCATCCTCTTGCTGGGACACGCGCCACTGGGCCAGTCCCGAGGTCACGCACGCGCCGATCCACCCGGTGACCGCTACGAGGAAGCTGGCCAGGCAGACGCTGGCGGATTGTGTGCCACCGACACCACCCGACGACATTGCGTGTGTCCACCTGCCCCGCGCACCTGCCCGTAGAGCGAAGCCGCCTGGACACGCGCGCACGCAAACGCAAGTCGGACTACACGTGCCTAGGCCAATTGTGTCTACTTTACGATTGATTATCCCTTAATTGATACACTATGTACGTGTTTTATATATATAAACTGTAATGGGTACTTTAATTGTTACGCGCTCCATTGCGTAAGCTATTATGTAAGACTTATCCCATTAAGCGATTTTCCCTGACATTTTAAACGCCCATCAAAGTAAACCAGAAAACCGTACTCAACACCAATTGTTCGGGTATTTGTTTGGTAACTTTACGCCTTATTCTGTCCTTAACAACCCCGTGCTATTATTTGTTTTCGAATATTTACACAGCACTTGTTGGACCCAACACGTGCTGTGTAAAATATTAATGCTCATTTCAATTAAATCCTAAGCGCCAAAAAAAATCAATACGGGCTATGTAACTCAGAGCCCCACACACACACACACGTGCCGCGTGCTGTCAACGCATGTTGCCTGACACGTCCTGCTGTGCTTAAAGTGTGCGCATAATGATGCGGGGGTCACTGAAAATATAAATAGGCGACCGCACTGGTTCCATCCGACAGTGACGCATTCTCCAGCAGCCAATGGAGAGCCGTGCATCGTGTGTCGACACATTATGCCTTTGTGTTGTTCCGAGGGTCACGTGTATATACGTATGGCAGTCCCGTGTGAGCTTGGGTTACCCAAGGGGGTGGGAGCTCTGTCAGTGAAAAGTGTTGAGCTTATTGTGAAGGGCGCTTTGACGCCCCAATACCGTTGCTGGGCAGTTGCCTGGTTACTCTGAAAACACGGCACTGCAACAATCTCTCGGGGCGCACGGAAGCGCCCGGTGGTTACCTTAAACTGTTTAAGATGCTGCTGCTGTCGGTTGACGTGTCGCTCACGATGTGGCGCAATGAGGAGAGATTCACCAGACGCGGTCGAGTTGAGACTCGACTCTTACCCGCGCTGGGTTGAGTAACTCATGGTGTGGTGTCACAATGGACATCGTCTCCGTGAAGGCCACTACTAGTGTTTTGATCGGTAATTTATGAACAGTTTATACCAGCAGCACCCCAATGATGAACCTGTAATTGTAGATAATCTGACGTATGCTGTTTCGACTTATTCACTGCGATCTGAATGCAATTCAACAAAATATGCAGGATGTAGAATTCGTGTACAGTGTTTGCAAGTATAGGGTGAGTTTTTGTTTGAAGTACTGTAAAAACCGTACACCAATCAGCCTAACAGATTTTACAAACATAATTTATTTAAACATACGGAAAATATGATTATAACTGTAATTGGCTATAACCTCACATGTGTATCGTATTTTATCTAAAAATTAATTCGTTGTGCCTTAAATACTTTATTAAACAAACCATATATGACGCGTAACTCATGTAGATGTATGATTGTGTACTCTATAAACGTTCATGTGTAAGTGTGTTAGTGTGTTGGTTAGGGTCAACCTGTAACACCTGGGGTCTGTTGCGTGACCTCCTGCCAGCGACACTTCCACCCTTCACGTGGCGTCAAAGTGCACCCTGCCTGGTACACTTTGTACGTGTCTGGAAGTGTTTGTATTGATGCACGTTACACCCGGTCACCATCCCCTTTACGTTTACCTCGCCCGCTGTCCGAAGCAAACAATCTTCGTCGCTGGTAGAGCCGATCAAAAAGCGCTCGGTTGGACACAACCAACACGTAACGACAGAGGTTTCACTTGTCCCAACGTGATATCATCTACAACGCAGCCAAGCTCTTTACTCACTTAATTATTTTCTTTAGAAAACCCCGCACAATTCCCTCGTGCTTGCACCCTCCTAGGAAGGATAATTGAACAATGCTGATTCAGCCCCGATATAAAAACATTATGCCGTGGTTTTTTTCCATACTCATATTACTCCCAGTAGATAAGAGGTTGCCAGGTGGGCCAGTTGGCAGTGCAGCAGTCAATTGAGTCAATGTGCAGAGCTTCGCTCGCGCTATCCCCGTGCGTGCGTGGGCTTTATTCTGGTTCTACGGTTTTCGTCCACATGCCATCATCCACTGCTGCATGAAGGCCCCCTCCAAGCTGCCACCTTCCCCCCTGCGATACAACAAAAGCATCCCGCTCTTGAGCGCGAGATGCTTTTGATCGACCAGTCTCCACAGTCGACGCCCTCAAGGGCCTGTTCCTTTGGCTGCCGCAATCTTTGCCGTGATGCCCTATAAGGACGCCTAATAGGGGGCGTAATCCATTCGAGACCATTAAAGCCCTCGTGGAATTTGGCCAAACACCACAATGCAGGATCTTCCTGGAAAAAAAATGTCAATGTGACTTTCCCGACGCAAGGACATTACAGATGTTACAAAAGTAATATCCTAAAGTGCAACATTCACCGTTTTAAAGAGTTACATGCTGTGAATAAAGTGACGGCTCTGTGCTTTGAACGTACTGGACACGCCCGTCGATCAACGGTGAAAATCACCTTCTGAATTTCGCGATGTGCGATAGAGTAAGACGACTGACGTACTGTTAATTGATTTCTCGTAACTAATTTCGTGTGCTGTCTATCTTGAGCGAACGTCCGTCTCTCCACACACGTGGCGACGCCTGCTTCCATTCTCCATAGGAAGGGTGGCGTAACTCTCATGAGAAACAACCCATCCTTTGCCTGCTTGCAATTCTTGACAAACAATTGGAATCATGATCATGTACAGCCCGTTGTCAATCCGATGCAGGGTGATAGCCTCCCCACACCGTGGGAGTAATAGGGGTTATCGGATCACACATGAGTGGAGAAGCCAGTTCATAACCTCTCTGCACTCGATTGATGGTGCGCCACCCACTGATTCACCCACCCATGTTGAGGATTCTGGTCGAGCGGACTGCCTAATCCCATCGCTGCTGTGTACGGACCACCAAGCCACACTGCAGGTGACAACACTCCTCTTCCTGCGTATTCCCTTGCACTTCTCGAGTTAGTAATAGCCTCCTGTTGACTCCCCCCCCACCCCCCAAGGCGCATAGCCTTGCTCAGTTCAAGAAACGTCTTCACCCTTGATACCGCTTCGCGTTGTGTAGCACGCAGCTTGACGTTTTTTACGCCTTTGCGTCTGCGCTTAGCAACTTTGTACACAAGCCAAAACAATGCAAAGGTAGGCCGGGTCCACAGCGAGGTGCGCTAACCACTGCGCCACCGCTCCACCACGCACCTTGCTGACTGAGCAAGCTGGGGGGTGAGTAGCGCGGTCTCGACCTTGTCAGCTCACGGGGGTTTGGCGATCGGTCAGACGGGGCCCCAATATTTGATTTGTACTCGCGCGGTCTCACCTGGGAGGCGATTCTAAATCGCGGCTCCTCTTGCCCTAATCACATCGTCGTTAAGGATTTTCATGAAAAAATAATAATTGAAACCGCATTTTATAGAAATACTTGTTGTTATTGTTTTTTATACTGTTGTTCAAAACATAGCTCATGGTGGTTGTCAGGGAGGTCCCAACTCGTGGCTTTGGCCACCAGGGGGTGGCCAAGGTACCCGCTGCCTGACCCACGCCAGTCATGCGACTAGCTGCGCGACAAGCAAGTTGCGGTGTTCTATTTGAAAGACCCCAGGCGCGGAATTTGACCGCATCGGAGGCACGTTCACCGCCCGCGAAGAGCCCTCCGAGAATTCCAACAGCGCCGCCCCGTGGACAGGGCGAGCCACAGCACGATGATAATCACCGCGCTGCTGAAGCGCCAGCTCCGCGTGGCATCAGAACAAACCCGAAACAACTCGGGATTTGTGGATTAAACACGTCAGATGTGAACTGTATCAATGAGCCGACGCGATTAATGTGCGAAATGAAAACGATTTAATTTGTAACAAACAAGCACCAAAAAAAACTTTACTGGCAGCGGTGGGATTTGAACCCACGCCTCCGAAGAGACTGGAGCCTTAATCCAGCGCCTTAGACCGCTCGGCCACGCTACCTCCTGACAAAACCCTGCGTGACAGGGCGTAATGGGCTTGACAACAACACTCCACGTGCACATTCACGCACCACGCCACCACCTGCATAGACGCTTTAGGCAGTTATTGAATATTGACCGGATTAGTTGGGTTATATCATTACAGGACTGTGTCGATGTTATCGATTATCTCTGCCGACTATCGGTTTCATTGCTCATCGAATCGGGTTCGAAGGGCAATTTCGTTGCGCCCACGTGGATGGGAGGTAAATGGGCGGAGTTTGGGGCAGCCAACCCGCGTCATTTCTCGCGTCACGTGGGGTTTGTTGGGGGGGGGGGTTCCTGCCTTCAAGAGGCAGGACTTTTAAAGGGAGGCTGATTAATCTACCACAAACAAGTAAATAGTGAAAATAAAAACCTATTTATCGTCCCAGCTCTCATTTAATACCCGTGCCTCGGAAGCCCAAGTGATAACGCGCAACCATGTATATATATAGTTTAACACGTAGGCTTTCGCGACCAATATTCATAATAAAGGTTTTGCATAATAAAGGATTTTGGGTTTCGCGTTATAACGCGCTCTAACCCAAAAACCTTTATTATGCATGTATATATATTTTTTACTTGTTCATGTTTGGATTAAACATATAAAAGTCACCTCTTCACAGCAATACTTAACAGTAAATTTCCGGCACTTTTTTTTCAATCCACTGTTGAACGAGGACCCTCCCTGCACAAACCACCACGCTGTGCATGTTGGAGACGGGCAATAAAGGACTGGGGACTAATGAAGCCATGGACGACAAAACTCACGTATTAATCAGTATAATTACTGCCAGTTAATTTATGGGCCGACTCCTGGTGCTTGCGTTTTAATTCAGTCACATTTGCTTAACGTGGTGCAGACTTTCAGCCATGGAATAGCACCACTTGACGTACTGTCAGATAGTTCAAAAACACACTTGCGTGAATCCGTAACTTATGAATCACGTATTCCGCGGCTTTTACAGCATGAAGCTAATTCAGGTTGAACCCAAGAATGACGGCATCGTGCTCCGTTCTCTCAGAGACAGCGACACTTGCTTGAGAAATACAAACTGAACGAAGACCCGCGAGCATGTCTAGCCCGTGTAGCTTAAGGCAGACGGGGATCAAAATGATTAAAGTGGCAAAGAGCAGGTTGACGTACTTATGGCAACGTGAATATAATGGAAAGTTTGTAGTGTTATAAGTACCGCTAGCCAGGCGCCGGCAACCTGCAGCTCCAGTCGCATGCGGGGGTTTTGGTTGCCCTTCGGGGCTCTTTGGCTGCAGTAAACCTGCGACGTTTGTGTTCAAGGCGCCCTGCGCGCAACGCGGCTCTCGAAATATTTTCCGGGCGAAGGCAAAAAAAAATGGCTCTTCTTCGAAAGGTTGCAAACCCCTGCCTATGACAAATTATTTGGTAAATGGAGCATATGGGCATTGGCGAATGGAAAAGCGCAAAAGAGCACAAAGCATGGTGAAATCTACGATTGAAGAGGAAGTATAAGAGACGTTACAGGCAGGCTTGGGAAGGCCACGTCGTGATAAGGAATGACGAGTGATTGAGACTAATGACTGTTGGCAAAGGAGTGAACACGCCCTAGAAGACTTCCACAGTGGAGATGAAATTGCTCAGGCACTCGATCAATTGTTATATCGCGGGACCACGAAATGGGGACGGCTTTGGGAGGGGCCTCATACCAGCAGTGTTTCAACCAAGGCCAATGCCTTACGAGCCAATATTTTCATTACAGCCTCACAGCTATCTTTAAATGTGCTACAATACTGTCACCCTATATCATTAAAGGTTATAAATACTCGCACACATGTGACATCAAGTAACAAGACAATACCTTAAAGGAAGACGGGCAAACATTTTTGTGGCGAAATATGTACAGTTTAATTACAAGTGCAAAAGGAATAAGAAATCAAACATCACAAAGAGAATGTTTTTTTTTTATCCCAACAAGTACCAGCGGCTTTTGAGCAAACAGACAACATTCTTCGTCCCTTCTGAGCAATCACGGATGCGAACACAACTGCTGCACATTGCTTTCTTTTTTTGAACGCCAAATCCACATTTTTTTTTCAACAAAATGTTTCAGCTGACAGTGATTGTGTTAATGAGCACGGCAGAAATCCCACCAAAGGGCAGTTTACATAAATAACGAAAAATGATTTTTTTTTTGTATTGACTGTACGTTTATGCTTTTTTTGTTATGTTTAAATA